CTGAAATAAACAATGAGTAAGGTAAAAAGTTACCTTGCAATTAAGCGCTTTTGTGATTAAGCTAACAAATAACAGATTAATAGGGAATCTAGGAACATGAAGAACAGAAGAGAGTTTAATATTGGAAGTACAGTCAATCATGAAGAACACGACACGTAAGAGTGTATATAATATTGAAGTACATCGAAAAATGTCACATAGGGCAACTCTTTTCTTCTTTAACAACACTCGACCTATGCCTGCAATCGGTGTACTACCAAGGGAGCCATCCACAATGCGAATTCTTTTCTCTATGCACCTTGATACTTAGAATAATGCGACTGCAAACTGTTTTATTATGACGCTATTGTAGATGTATTTATGTTTGCGTCACCTGGAATGCGTATAAAATGCCAAGAGGGTTTTGCAATTTTGAGCAAAAGAGGTTAAGAAAGGCATTACCTGATTAACAAAATTAGGAGGCTCGCCTATTGTCCAGAGTTGAGGAAAGAATAATATGCTGTGACACATCGTTCATGGGATCTGAACTGCTCTATTAGAAAGCTACTAGCAATTAGCATGGTTGTTACTTAGATAAAGCTCCACTATCAGATATGTTGTGCCTGTGGTCCTAGAAGAGCCTGACACCCACTCACACTGCTACACCCTTTTTAGTTGGTGTTGTCCCATGTAAATTCCAGCATAACTCCTTATGCCTATTTCTCAAGCGCGAAATTTTTAGCGCAATAATCGAGTCACGAAACTGAATTGAGTCTATGTCTGAAAAGAAGCTGCCCTTTGCAACTTATATACTGTTTCTCGTTCGCAGAATTAGAATAACTAAATCTGCTTTATCAATGTAGATTTTGTTGTATACTCATTATCTATTCTCTTCTATCTCCTCTTTATTGTACAAATGAGTATGCTTGTATCGCAAGGATGCGTAGAGAGAGGTATCTCAGTCCAAAGAACTTGGACCTTGAATATGATCATACTCCGTTATTTAGCCAGCCCTAGATAAATCACATAAAGCACACAAATTCTACCTTTAAAATTCTAACATTCCTGCAACCTGAGATGACATCATCGAATACACTTTTGCTTGGAAAGTCTTTGATGTAATTATATATTTTCTCTTTGCTATATCTCTGAAGATTAACATGGCAAGAATTCGACTGTCAATGACGATCTAGCTTCAGAATACTACTAACTAAATTGGTTTTCACATTAAACTTTCTACTCGGCAAATTCATCGACCCATCTGAGCATAGAGTTTCCAACTCTATGGGAAGGTAACGATCATACCTCTGAGCATAGTTTCCAATTTGTGAGTAAGTCAGTGAAGCGACATCCCATATCTTCTTAGCTGTATCAAGAAGTAAATATCCTCATGAAATGGTTGACTGCTTAGAATTGATTAGCCAAGACATAATAAGGGAGTTCTCTGATTTTCACTTGTTATAACTCAGATCTGTCAAAACTGGTGTTGGTGCTCCATCGTCAAGATACTCTTGCAAATCTGTAGCCTCAATGAATAGCAAATAGGACTGAGACGAAGCCAAGTAATTTGTGCCATCTAACTTCACTGGACTAATCTCGAGTGAAGGATTCTCCGAATGAAAATCTAAGTCTACCTTTTTTTCGTCAACCATACTGTCAGTTTAAAAAATTTGATAGCTGATTCAAAATTCGGAACCAGAAATCACACAGGCAACAGTACGTAAGATGGAAAAAAAAAAAAGGAATCACCATAAAGTCAAAACTGGGAGAGAGTGAGTAGTGGGTTTGAGTTGCAGCATCAAAACAAGACCACTGGAACAAAAATCGTCAGCAAAGGTCATTGAAAAACATAGCACGCGCTGGCGCGTGAAGAAAGGCTAGAAACTTTCGGTGGCGCATGTGTGCATGCGCGTGACCAAATGGCGACGGGATTTGACCGAAAGGATGATCGGCGGTTGCTCCTCCTTCTGAAGTGGGCGGTAATGACCAACTTTCTCTCCTAGCAGCGGTACTTGAAACTCAGACCTGTTTGCGGACAAAAAACCTATACTGAAAAATCACGGCAAGACTCTGATACCATGAAGTTTTTGAAAAGAGTGAGTTTTATTTCTCTATATTGTGTTGTTATTGTCCAATCTCTACTCTACTATATATATACACAAAAGATTGTTCCAATATAAGAAGTAATCTATCTAAATAGGAATAAACCTAAATTAAGAAAGACAATATTTATTCTAATTACAAGGATTTCAACACCTCTCAACCCTCCAAAATAGTTTTAGAGTGTTTCAATTGTCCATTCGTGTGGATACTACAAGAGGCCGGACACTTGGACGGCTTATTGTTTGCGACAACCTAGCCGTGTAGATTGAAGTTTTGAAGAATCTATAAAAGAGGTATTTTTTTAAATAATTTTTATTGCTTTAATCGTTTAAATGGATTCCTGTTAGTATAATTATTTTGTTATAATTATATTATTCCGCTGTGTATTATTGATATTGAAAAGCGCAACGCAAATCAACCTACAATCCATCTTAAGTGTATTCTATGCTTTCATTAACTCCATCCTACATTTCTTGTCAGCAACTAACTCCACCACTTAACAGCCAGTTCATTGGATTCTCCACAGGGGTTAGAATCACTGTCATTGCCGCTATTACTAAACAACTGTTCAATTAAATAGCTGCTTCTACGATTAATTTCATCACAAGCTTCCATATTTAAAGCTTCTCCAACTCAGCTTCTGCAGTTTAATCTTTTGCTGCTTTCAATCCTTTCCAACTAGTATTCTCTCACTTTTACCTCAATTCCAGTCAATATAATGATATACCTTCTCCTCTAATCATATGGATATGATTAAAATAAGAGCTAAGTGATAAATTTGACCTTCATGTTAACAAGCAAATTGCAACTAAAAACAAAACTTCATGTTAGCACTCCTTCAACGCCAATATGATGCCATTTAGGCTTATTCATTTAGTTGGAATTAACTCTGACCCTATGGGTCTAGACTTTTCCATCCTCAATGCAAAATGTGATTATCTCTAATAACTACCCAACTTAACAAATTTGTTTTTCCAAGCTAATTAATTTAGGGCTAGAATTCAGGTTTCTAAGAACAATATTAAATCTTTTTCATCATTATCAATTATTACATCTATTGATCCACATAAGCTTTTCCTCCAAAACAATGTCAGGACAATGTTTTATTTCTACTTAAATCCTACAATGGTTTTCTTCCTAAATGGTGGTTTTGATCCAGATCATAATGATCCATTTAACATTGTCCTTAATAAAAAAACATTTTACATACTGACCAATTTATAGTTTAACCTAAACCAACTCTAATTTTAAAATTATGCATATTATATGGCTTAACCTACAAAAATATCTTCAACTTTTCATGTTGTTGTGATATTATTCTAAAATGACCTTTGTCCCTCTGGCATCTCAACTTTGAAACTTAGATATATTGTATCCCCAGATTTAAATTTCACCTAGGGTTTTGCAATATAATAACATAAAAGTGACCCCATCAAACCAACTTGAATTAACTTAACCTAACCTCCTAAAACTTATGAAATGGATTTTGATCTTGAAAAACAAAATTCCTAGTTTCATTTGTAGCTCCATCAAGTACCAACAAATGCAAAACAAAAAAAAATCGATCAATGGATAATTCCATTATCAAAAACCACATAATAAACAAATATAAAACATCCATCACTTTATCCAGAAATAAAATTCTTCATTTAATATATACTGTAAATAATTAGATAATTACCCATTAAAGAAAAGACAAAAAAGAAGTAAATACATTATTAAACAAGAGAGAATAAAATATGGCGAAAGCAATTGCATGATTATGAAAATGAAAACTACAGGCAATGAGTCATAGATAGAGAGAAAGAGATCAAGAAAAAAAAATATCCAAGTAGCTAAAAACACACTAAGTTCAAATAGACCTAGGTGTGATTAATCGAAGCTCAAATACAGAAAGAAAAAGGACAACTATTCAAAGAAAAATTATTGTTGGCCAGCTGCTGTACAACTCATAAGCTCATTTGCTGAGTCCGGAAGAGACGATAATACCAAAGAGAGAAGGAAAATGAGGACGAGGAAATCGAAATTTGAATAGAGGAGATTATCGAGGGAACAAGGAAGAAAAGGAGCTTGATAAATCTACAAAGGAAATTAGGGATTTTGTTTTTCAGTATCAAAACGATGCGTTTCATAAATTTTAGGAGGTTGGCTTAAATTAAATCAAATTGGTTTGGTAGATTTCACTTTTATATTATTATCTTGCAAATCTTAGGTGAATTTTGAATCTAAAGTGACTATATATTGAAGTTTCAAAATTAGAGTGACGAAGAGAGAAGTTAATTTTTGAGTGATAGTACGAACAACGCCTAAACTTAAGGTGCTTTTGTAGATTAGGCCATATTATATAATAAATTTTACCTTTCATATATATAAATATTAAAACTTTTAGTATGAAACTAGCATTTGGTTCTGTATTCCAAAAGCTACAACCATTGACTTAAAACTTTAAACTTTATTGATCAAAATGGCGTAAGAGTTATCCAAGAAAAACAATGGCAGGTTCTAAAATGATAAAAAAATCTACCTGATCAACCGGTAACCTTGTTACTTGCTACCTGACAGATCGGTAGCCTCATATATTTATAATTTTTTCTTTTTAGTTTTTTTTCTTTTACCCCCTATCATCTCCATAGTCCTTTTGTTCTGTTCTCTGCGAACTAATCGGTATCAGAAACCCTACCGCCATGTGTACAACACACACTAAGACAAACGCTGTTCCAATGATGTTCCAATGACACTATTGCTTTTACTTATGGACTCACACTTCCCCTCTGTTGCTTCTATTTTTTTTTGAAGTTATCACAAATAAAATGACAAATTCTTGTCTCAGAAAACAACGCCAGATAAAATAAAAAAAGCTACCCGATGAACCGGTAACCTTGTTACCTGCTACCTGACAGATTAGTAGTCTCATGTATTTTCTTTCAATTTCTTTTTGGGCCATTGACGCGGAAATCCATTAGACTGCAGGAACACTATCGCCACAAACAAATAGCAGTCTCGCAATTTCAAATTCCAAATTTATTTCTCTCTTTCACAGATCGGAATGAGGTTGAGCGGAAGGACAAAACCGTCAAAAGAAACTTCATTGAATCTCATAGTAGTCGATCCACGATCAAAAATTATTTCTTCTCTTATTCTGAAGTTGCGATCATGGTCGGATACATATATTCGAAAATCTGTTTCATTTTTCAACGTTTTTGTCACAATAATCATACCGACCAAATTGTGGAGGAAAAAAAATCATCAGGTAAGAAGCTTGTAAAAATCTTACTCTGGACTACCAGAACAATAATGAATTTTGTTTTACAGGTTAATGATGTAGCCGCCTGTGATCGAATAACATTCGAAGGGGATACAGATTTAGAAGACGATACAGAAAAGGAATTAATGTCACTTGGTGTTGGTGGATTGGCTAAAATTTACGATTTTATCATGGAAAAGGTGTTTGATACTTCATTGCGAAGCGCTGGGCAATTTACACGGTGAGAATACTCAATAGATAAAACCAAATTTATCATTCTCTTATTTTCCAATTTATCTCAACTGTTAGTCTTCTTTTATAATCAGTAGGTCAGGCTTATATTTTTATATTATAATAATACTCCCTCCGTCCCATTTGGATTGCATTGTTTGACAGAAAAGCATATTGATAAAAGTTATTTTACCCATTTTTACCCTTAATATATATATATATATATATTTTATTATATATATATATACACTTTTTTAAGCATAAGATATTGTACCTCCCAAACTTATACTCTGGTTTGCTTAAAAGATCTCATTGCAATTGGTTTTTTCCTCAAATTTTCATTTGATTTTAGCATGAAATTTTTGGAAATAACAGTACTAGATTCTAGTTCGTATCTTGTTAATACCCTTCATGTTACTCGTGTTGGGTTGGTTTAAGCCGAACTTGATCACTATTTAGGTGGTATTAAGTTGTTTGTTGTGTGCGAATCAAATTATTCATTCGGTGCAAAAGTTCTGCAAAATTTGTGTTGTAAAACCCATATATATATCCACTTTTTACATAAGATATCTGTACCTCCCAAACATTATATCTGGTTTGCTTAAAAGATCTTCATTGCAATTGTTTTTCCTCAAATTTTCACTTTGATTTTAGCATGAAATTTTTGGAAATCCCAGTACTAGATTCTAGTTCGTATCTTGTTAATACCCTTCATGTTACTCGTGTTGGGTTGGTTTAAGCCGAACTTGATCACTATTTAGGTGGTATTAAGTTGTTTGTTGTGTGCGAATCAAATTATTCATTCGGTGCAAAAGTTCTGCAAAATTTGTGTTGTAAAACCCACCATATATATATCACTTTTTCATAAAGATATCTGTACCTCCAAAACATTATATCTGGTTATGCTTAAAAGATCTTCATTTGCAATGTTTTTCCTCAAATTTCACTTTGATTTTTATAGATGAAGATTTTTGGAAATCCCAATCTTAGATTCTAGCTTCTTATCTTTGTTATACCCTTCATGTTACTCGTGTTGGGTTGGTTTAAGCCGGAAACTTGATCACTATTTAGGTGGTATTAAGTTGTTTGGTTGTGTGCGAATCAAAAAATCTATTTCAATTCGGTGCAAAAGTTCTGGCAAAATTTGTGTTGTAAAACCCACTTGAATACATGATTTTCCATTCCTTCTTTGTTTAATTCATTCAGCCAAACAACTGGAACTTTATCCTTATTTTTAAAAAACTTTATCCTATATTTTAAAAAACTTGAAACTTGCTGTGAATACTATAGAAGTTAGTTGCTCTATTGTGACATGGAGGTCATCAATTTAAAGTTTAAAGTTAAAAGTTTAAACTGCAATGATCTCCTTGCAATGTGGGAAGGCTAAATGCATCCAGTTTCCCTGGAGTCTACAATGTTAGAGGTTTTCTGCATTGGAAACCTCTAAAGGGCATTTCGTTCACCAAAAAAATATGCTTAGAATCAGAATCAAGACCAAATAGGGAATGACCTACCCTGGTGAGATCACTATTCCTATGGGGATCAAGTGAAACTATTCAGTATTACCATGTGAACTATATATTGTTTAATTCTAATCTTGCGCTAAAAAGACCAATTTTGTAAGGAACCAAATTTTTGTTCCCTTTCAAATCAAACACTTGAGAAAAAAAGCTATTTCATTTCCGATTCTGCTTCTGGAGTTCAAACCATGCAAATGCTTGTATCAATTGAAGTCATTGATATATCATACTTTGTATACTTTGGCCTCAATTTTATTATTGCCAAGTTGGGAATTCTTTGACTCTGCAAGTCATTTTCTCATACTTAAATGGAGCACTGCATTTTTTGGGAAATTTTTAGTTAATATATTGTGTTGCTGTTATTAGCTTTATTTCACTTCTTCCTTAGATTATTCTCAAGTTTAGTTGTCGGTCTTGAACATCATACCTTAGAAATTCCTGACAATAGTATTGGCTTCCACATTGGAAGATACATGTTGGTCTTGAACATGATAGCTTAGGGATACATGACAATATTGGGTTCCATAGTGTTGTTAGAAGTGAATTTGGTTGATGTTAAAAAGTGAGCATAAGGCGTAAAGCGTGGGAATTATAATAGAGTAGGTGCCAATCTAACCTTATTGTAGGAATAGCGTGGAAATTATAATAGAGTAGAGTAGGTTGCCGCCTTTGCTATCTAATGCTTTCCTTGTAGATTACATGTGTTAGTTGGATTTGTCTTCATTAGATTACTTATTCTTACCCCAAAAGGTTACAAAAATGTTCCATTTGAAAATTGGGGTATGGCTTCAAGAAACCCGAGCTTAAATTGAGATTAGTGTCTCCCAATTGAAAACACAACAATTGAAAACACAAGAAACCATTGTTTGCGAGTTATATTTTTAATATTGGTAAAACTATCATCTTGACTGATTTTTCGATTGTATGTATAATGTGATTTTTCCATTGCACCTAAGGCTTTCCTTGTAGATTACATGTGTTAGCTGGATTTGTCTTCATTAGATTACTTATTCTTACCCCAAAAGGTTACAAAAATGTTCCATTTGAAAATTGGGGTATGGCTTCAAGAAACCCGAGCTTAAATTGAGATTAGTGTCTCCCAATTGAAAACACAAGAAACCATTGTTTGCCAGTTATATTTTTAATATTGGTAAAACTATCTATTGGTACCAACTATCATCTTGATTGATTTTTCGATTGTAATGTATAATGTTATTTTTATGAAACTGCTGCTATTGTCTCCCAATTGAAAACACAAGAAACCATTGTTTGCCAGTTATATTTTTAATATTGGTAAAACTATCATCTTGATTGATTTTTCGATTGTATGTATAATGTTATTTTTATGAAATGTGCTATAGGCACAACCATATTAAAATCCATTTAAAATTTTGATACCTAGGCCTATTCCAAACCCGTTTAAATTTCCTTTTGAAATATCTATATCCAAATCGATTTAAAATTTTAATATCCGCATATGTACTAAACCCATTTAACTAATACAAACTTGCTTTATGAGTTGGACAAAGAACTATAAAAGAGAAGCATAAATGATAGACAATTCCAAAATCCTAGTCGTGTAAAATTTTTTAATATTTTTCTTTTGGTGATTGATTTGTTTCACATTTGATGATATTAAGGTTTGGAGTCTTGGGCATGGGTTAATTTATATTAATTTTAACAAAATTTTAAGCCCAAATTATATTCCTATCTTAAATCTAACATGCACTTAACTTTTTCACTTGAAATATTTAATTAATCTAGGCCCAGACCTGCATTGTAGTGAATTTAATACCCATACTTGTTCTAGGCTTATTTAATTAAAATCTAAACCTGTTTTGAATAGGTTTTTGCGGATGATACCCAAAAAAGCCGCTTCGCATCCTTATGCATAGGGTTGCAAAAAAAAAAAAATAATAATAATAAGGGGAAAAAAATAATCATGTCCCTGAGATTTGACCTAATTAACACTTGAGAACCTTATTTTAAAAGAGGCAACTATAAGGTCCCTAAATTTTGATTTTGTTAATAGTTGCATCATTCCGTTCAAAACACTCACTTCTAGTTGTCAAATCGATGTGTAAGTACAAAATACCCTAATTCAAAAATAACATTATCAAACTGTTGTCAACACCATCTCCTCTTCCACCACAAGACCAAATTTCTAGAAACAAACCCTAACTGCAACAAGAAAGAAACCCAAAAAATGCAGAGACAAGCACATAGACAAATCCAGAACCAACTCAATCACTGATCATCAGTAGTAATATCAACCACAAACTCCTAACGAATTTCTGCAGTGAATCTCTAAAATGTAAAATTAAAAAGCACTCTGAATGTGCTATTAAAAGCAATGTATCAAAATCAAAATTATTTCTTTATTCTAAATTACACCTAATCAAACAATTTAAATCCTTCCTCAATTGTATCTCAAAAAAAATACAACTTTTCATCATTTTTCAAAATACTTGCATATGAAAAGTAACACTTACAAGGGTTTTAGCTCCTAAAGAAAGTAATCTCCAGCGGATTAATTTTTCTAAAGCCCCCACACCCCCCCCCCCCCCCTCTCCAGCGGATTAATTTTTCTAAAGCCCGTCCCACACCCCCTGCTCTTTGCAACCCCCGGAATTTAACAACAATAAGCGCCCGGGAAGACAAAATTAAAAAATTAAGCTTGCAAAACCATATTTGCATTTAATGGCAATAAAGTCCTAATTAGACCAACCTCATGTAAATTTTAAATTTGCGAGGAAGGACCTATCAACTGTAGGTCTGTTTCTTGGAGTGCATGGGGAGACTGTAAGGTGAGTCAGGTATGGTAAGGAGGAAGTCACAATTAGAGTCGATGCCAATTCCGTCGACTTGTTGATGGTAAGGTAGAGCTTTTACCACCTCTGGGCATGTACGCTCGATTTTATGCAAGCCTACCATTTAGAATATGACGAGAAAAAACACCGGAACTCCATGTGTTTGATTTACAAGAAATTTAAACATCCAAGAATTAATATATTTGGAAAACATTTTAATTGCCCCCCCCCCCCCCCCCCCCCAAAACAACAAAAACCCAAGACAAAAAAAAAAAGCTTGCAAACCATAGTTGCAAATAGCAATAAAGTACCTAATTAGACAACCTCATGTAATTTTAATTTGCGAGGAGGCTATCAATGTGATCTGTTTGAGGCATGGACTGTAGGTCAGTTGGTAAGGAGTCACAATTAGAGTCGATGCAATTCGTGACCTTGTTGATGGTAATGACTTTAGCCTCTGGGCATGCCTCGATTTTGCAAGCCTACTTTGATTTCAGAAACCCACTCCAGTTTGATTTCAAGAAAATCAAGAATTATAAAGGAAAAATAGAGAGTTTTGTATTGATGGAGAAGACTAAATACTTTAAGAGACTTTGATTTTTGTTGAGATTGATATACTTGTGAAAGAGGAGCGACCTATGTGAAGGAGGCTGCTGCATTGAATAAAGTGAAAATAGAGCTGGTGGCGTAGGTTGGGTCGGTGATAAGGGAGTTCTTGGGTCTGATGGGGTGTTTATTGGGATTAAAATTTGTCTCTCATTAGACTATCTTAAATTGTTAAGATTAATAGAAAAATTGATAATCTTGAACAGAAGGACGAAACTATTAATAGAATCAAAATTTAGGGACTTGATAATTAGCTTTTGAAACCAGGGATCCTCGAGTGTTAATTAGGTCAAGAACACCATTATTTTTTTCCATAATAAGAAAATTACATTATCACCTAAAAATTACATGTTAAGCAATGGGTTAAATATAAACATGTTGGATGGTGGTAGGACACATCAATACATGATTTTTACTTATTTTTCAAAAACAAAAAATTTGAAAAAAAATTTGAATTAATTATAAGATAATTAAAATAACATAATAATAGATCTATTTGTATAATTTTTATATTTTTCCAATAATCCATAAAGGAATTTTTTTTTAGCCATCCTCATTGCAACAAATAACAATTATAAGTCTGTCTTTGTCCTGTTTTCTTCCTTCAAGCTGCTTCGTTGCAAGAGAATGATCAACTTGTAACCCGTAAAATAAACCAGTTTCATCCATATTAAAAGCATCTTTCATAGGGAAATGGTCTATTTTTTCCCTTATGGACTCCAATTTCTTCTCCATGTCTTGTGTGTCAATCGAACCACTCTCTCCGAAACAACATAATGACTTGATACCATGTCTTAGCTTGAACTTCTCAAGCCAACCTTGAGAAAGGTGGTACTCAAAAGGCTGTTGAGGGTATAAAAGTTTCATCGTCTCCCTTGCCTTCTCCAAAATTAGATCTCCAGTTATATTTACACGATCTTGGTATTGGAGAAACCACTCATAAATAACCTTTTCCATTTATGGAAATGTTTCTGGTCTGTGTCGCTTGGTTTTTCTAAGTTAGTCGAAAGGTACTCAGATGATCGTTTGAGAGTGTTTGATATTGTACCTTGACTAAATTTCAAATTATATTTTTCATCAAGCCACTGCTTTGAGTGCATGTGGTGTGATCTATCTTAAGTGCATGTGGTGTGATCTCCCTTATACCCACATAATGCTTTACGTATTTGATCAGTCATGGTTGATCTCTGGATACCTTCTAGATGAGAAGCCATTGTGGGGTATGATTTGAAGGACTTTTCTATATTGTTTATATAGTACATGATTTCTCAAGATTGAACCTTTTTTGTTTAACCGAGTTCCAGAGCACTAGGCAATGGGGCTTTTCATTCCTGGGTCGCCTCGTCTGTAGTTCCCTTCATCATCATATGTTGAATGTTATTAAAAAGAGTGAATACCCTCGTATTTTGTGATAAAAATTACTACTTAATTTTTAACACGAAATATGATGATGCTTAAAAACAATGTCATTAAATAGTAATTATATATGTAAAATGAATTTTCTTTTTAAATTAATTCGCGAAATATGATACATTATAGTAGTGAAATACATACAATGATTTTTTATATAATTAGATTTATATTTGTTGAATAAAAAAAGAACTCTTTAAATTGATAAATAATTAAATTATTTGATTAATTAATACTACTCAGAATTAATAAAATTTCACGGTCCCAACATTATCAGTTTATAGAGGTTTTATTGTACCTAGATCATATGGCCTTGGCCACTTGTAAACTTACTTGGCTAAATGAACTTCTTAAAAAGTTAAGATGTGGAGGAGTTAAACAAATAAAATTGGTATATCATAACTGCACTTCGTATCGCCTCAATCTAGTGTTTCAAGAAAGAACAAAACATGTAGAGGTAGATTGTTATTTTATCAGGCAGAGAATTGAGTAGGGATGCATTGCTATCACCATTATCAATTCAAGTGATTAATTAGCAGATGTCTTTAATAAAATCTCTTAGAGGTTCTCAAATTGAATACATCTATGACAACTTATGAACATGTGACATGTACATAACAGCTTGAAGGGGAAGTGTTCAAATGTTGAAATTATGGTTGTGATTGTGTGGCTTTAATTAGAGGACTAATATGCTGCAGTATAGGTTGTAATTATGGGATTAATCACCCATATAGAATCTTCTGTATTATATGTACCCTAGTATGGGAATAATCAAGCTTCCTTCCTATTCACTCTCAATCTCTTCTTTCTTTCTTACAAGGTCATGTTGAATTAAAAAAAAAAATTTCTTTCTTACAAGGTCATGTTTGAATTAAAAAAAAAAAAAAAAATATATATTATACTATATATATATATATATATATATATATTATATATTTATATATATATTACCTAGTTAAATAATTGGGCTCTGAAATAGATGCTAAACGCACATTGCCTAAAAGGTTTTATATTCAACTATAGTAACTAGACAAATGTAAAATAAATTCATGTACTTGTTAATATATGCACATCCCATTCCCATCATATAGGAATCAAAGATGGGCCAAATGCATATCAGTCCCAAAAAGAAAAGGAAAAAAAAAAAAGAATTTCTTAGAAACTAGTTGAATTTTTGAATTTTGGAGTGTCTTGTATTGTCTTTTCTTGTATGTTTGTATATGTTTAGTGACTTATTCTTTATTGTAAAGGATAGATTAGGTAGTTCCATATAGCCTTAGTCCCATGTATAAATCGGGTTGTAACAATTTTTTACATAATATTGAATGAAAATTCCCTTCACACAGCAGTAATAGTTAACTGGAGTTAAATACCTATCAAATAAATTTTTGGAAATCTATTGTATTTCATTATGATAGAGGAACTTAATAGTAATTCACCCAAGGTAAGTTGTAACTGCCTTTTAAAATATGCAAAAAGTTTGTATATGTATATATTATTTATCATTTGGCCCTTTTATTTTGAAATCGTTTTGTTTTCACTGTTATTTGATTGTACTTCATAAAATCAGTGTTCTTGACATTGCAGGTTAAAGATCAATAATGTTAAAGGGATGCTTCTCTATGGGCCACCTGGGACTGGGAAAACATTATTGGCAAAAGCACTTGCAAAGATGCTACACGCTAAGGAATCTGATCTACACGCTAAGGAATCTGATATCTCCCTCCCACTTTACAATTATACAAATGCACACAAAATTTTTACTTGGCAATATCTTGGATTTTAAACTGTAATAGCTATAATGAATAATGAGACGTTCTAAAAATCAAATTGAGAGAAGATAGGATAACTGCTTATGCATAATTTACGTACGAGTCAGTTTTTTACATGCCCCGATATTTGTCTCTGATACATTAGTAATACATTCAGAAAGCAATTGTGGATTTATGATTTGTTACATTTTCTTTTACTGGCTACAAAAAGAAAATATTGAACTCATATTTTCGAAGTCTTTTCTTCCTAGAGTTATTTGGCTTGGATCTTATGATTTGATGTGCCTTCTTCTATAGGTTGTTATGGGGCCTATGTTGATGTCAAGCTATGGAGATGAATCAAAACACAGTTTGAGAAAGCTATTTGATGATGCTATAAATGATTATAAAAAATATGGTTTGTATGACATATTTGCATTATTTATCAATTTCTTTAGTGGATATACAAAAAGGATGATTATTATTATATCCCTATTGTTTTCCTTAAACTTGGATATGCAATTGTAATTTTTTGTTTGCCCTTTGTAGGAGATCAAAGTCCACTCCACATGATCATTTTTGATGAAATTGATTGCTTCACTCAGGTAAAAGTTATGCATGAGACTGAATTTCATTGTAGGTTCTAGTGCACTTAGATAAAAGTAAAGCATGATGCATGAGACTGAATTTCATTGTAGGTTCTAGTGCACTTAGATAAAAGTAAAGCATGATGATTTTATTTTTCCTTTTTCTTTTATAGGGCTCTGGGATAGTTCATCAATTGTTGGGAATGGTAATTCTTTCTTTAATTAAAATAAGTTTTTTTAGCGTGGATTTTTTTCCTTCTGTGTACTAAATCATAAACCTTATCTAATCCAGATTGATGGCGTCAATGCATATAATAATATCTTTATTATTGGAACAACGAGTAGGATGGATTTAGTCGATGAGTCACTCTTGAGGTAACTACTACTCCCTCTCATATGTTAGATATATTGCATTGCTTAATATGTCAATGATATTTGCATTTCAACATTTGAAGTTAGAAATAACACATGATTCATTATTCTAGCATTTTTATATTTGATACGTAACCTAGTAATTTTTCAAAGGTATCAATCAGGAACAAATTGCCTCAGTGAACGGTTAAGCATGATTGCTTATATTTCATTAATTGTGGAATTTAAATAAAATGATGAACCCCCACCCCCCAAAAAAAAAAACTCTTAATTGGTCCTAAAATTATTAGAATTTGTGTGGATGGTGATCTACCCTAGTTACTAGGGTTTTAGGGCAATTACATTGGCCATTGGCCATCCTTTGGGCTTAGTTTAATCAATGGTCAACTAATCTTTACTGAATTTCTTATTAGTTGCTCAAGTATAATCTGTTGCAAAAAAAAAAAAAAAAAAAATTGGGTTTTGGGGTTTCAAAACTGGTCATTCCCAAAGGATTGTACGTTTCTGTAGAATTGTTAAAACTTCTTGTCTGGCATATAGTGGCCGTCAGAAAAAAAAAATTAATTAAATAATTGCTCTTCAATGCAAATCAACAAAGCTTTTGCTTCTTCAATGCAAATCAACAAGCTTGCTTTGTAGATCTCCTATACACACTTCAAGTAGAACTCTTTAATCATATTAGAAAACACCTTTTCAATACAATTACTCAAATTCTTTTTAGGTAAGGCTTGCTTTTATGTGGCAAGCCCCCCAAAATTTGTTTTCTTAAAAAGAAAAAAGGTAAATTATGAGTCCTTTCTTATGGACAGTTCACAAACTTCCATGATTTTAGTGAACATTCGTAAAGATTCACATTAAGAAAATAAATTAATTTAGGATATAAAAAAACCTAAGAATTTTACCTTCATTTTTTTTCTTGCATTGATTATCATTCTTGGCTCGTGTTTTCTCAAGCTTTCCATTTGTTCCTAGCTTTCATTGTATGGTCAATCTTGAAGTTGGGAAGTTGTGGGTTGTCTGGTTGTATATGGTTTTGTTGAGGATTCATTTTAGGGAAAATTATAATTTTGTCTCCATATTATGTCAAAATTAATTACTTTGTCCTTATGTTTTCTCAAAAAAGAATTAAAAGGAGTTAATTAACCCGCTAAATGAATGCAAGGACTCACATCTATTTATCATGCATTTCAATGGTGAAAGAGAGGAAGGGAAGGAAAGAAGCGAAAGGGTATCTTTGTTTTTTTCTTTAAATTTAACAACAAAAAATGGAAATATTGATAGAAGGACAAAAAGTTGGACAAAATAAATATATGGGAAGAAAATAGTTGTATCTTAAAAAATAGAGGGACAGAAATTAATTTTGGCATAATATGGGAACAAATTTATAATTTCCCTTCATTTTCTACACCACTTCCTGAACTGAATTTTCAAGGACATCCATTTGAAAATTAAAATATGGTTATAAAAATGTTTTTAAATATTTCTTCTTATTATTATAATTATATTTTAGATATAATAATTTTTAGGAAGTTTGAACAAATTTTAAATACTACAACAATTGGGAGAGGAGAATGAGAAGGAAGAAAAAAAGAAAGAAATATGAAAGGGGATAATTTGGGTCTTTTAAAAAATAAAAATGAATAATATCAGAAACAAAAATTTTTAATTGCCTCCAAAAGTTAATTTGGTAGATTGAAAAATGAACGATTTTGGGGATTTTCAATCTCTCAAATAAGCATCAGAATACTTCTCTCTCCGTTAGAAAACTCTTCGCTAAACAGCCCAAAAACTTAACATTACCTTTGTGAAGATTCATAAAAGGATCTTTTTGTTTTCTTTATTCGTAATGGTGGATGTACATGTATGTATGTATAATAGACTTAGTTGAGATAAAGATAATTACAGATGATTACAAGTGATAGACTTAGTTACTGAGAGATAAAGATAAATATAGAAAAACATATTTCCTTATTAGCCCCTTCAAGCTAATGTTAGATTGGAAAGTAGACCTAGCTTTGGTCTGCACTTAAACATATTGAATTGTCAATTTGTCAAGGATAACCAACTCGCGAACAAAGTGAGAATCTAACTTGATATGCTTAGTACGGGTGTGAAAGAAAGAATATTTGAGTGGAACATAAGAGTGAGAAAGAAGAGAGACCAGTATCAACAATATGACATATGATGGATTTTCCATGTTTAGAGACGTCATTTTGTTCATGTGTATAGGGACAAGCAATTCGGTGAATAATGTCATGTTGATGATAATACTTGTTTAATTTATGAAATTCTCCCCCCGATCTAAAATCAATTGCTCTAAGCTCTGAAAAATATTGAAGACATCACTTTTATTATGCAAGAGGCACACTCAACACTAACAACTAAAATCATCAATGAAAATAACGCAATATCTATGACCTAAAGAAGACAAAAGTGCGCACACCTCACACTCTTTGAAGACATCACTTTTATTATGCAAGAGGCACACTCAACACTAACAACTAAAATCATCAATGAAAATAACGCAATATCTATGACCTAAAGAAGACAAAAGTGGGGCTGGCCCCCAAAACATCAGAGTGAATAATGTCAAAGGTTGCTCGACTATGGTGACTAACAGGCGCTAATGGAAGGCGAGCAAGTTTGCCTTGTAAACAAGAAGGACAAGGATTCACAATTCAAGACTTTTGACAAGGTAAACTAAATTAATTAACAATTTTAGATGCAGTTTTGAAACTTGGATGACCTAATTTGTGATGTCAATCTTGCAGAGAATGTCTCACACATGGATGCTTCTTTCTTCATTGGAATGGATGGCATGGTATATGTACCATGCTCACTCGGTCTGTGCAGCAGAATTTTCCTTGAAATTTGATCCTTAACGATAAAATAATCAGGCCAGAATTCAGAGAAATCATTGTTATTAGCAGTAAATTATTGAACTGATAATAAATTTGACAATTTTAGGAACAAGCAAAATATTATTTAATTTAGAGAGCCATAATTAGAATGGATTTGAGCCCCACAAAAGCCCTCCATCAATGGTATTCTTTTTTAATACTTACTCCCGCCGATTTCCGTTTCTAGAATGATTAAAAGAACAATGAAAGTTTCTAGCTTTTGATGTAGAAAGAGTAACTAGTGTATGAACACTTACACATTTTGGATATCTCAAGAAATAGATGGTGAACACTTACACATTTTGGATATCTCAAGAAATAGATGGGTTTTAAGGTTCTCAGCTTAGACTAGGAAATTGAATTAGAGCTTGCCAGTGTGAGAAATGAAATCGGAGATTATTCAGGCCTAAGAACAGTACTGTTGCTGCGGAGTAAAGACATTGTAGCAGGAGATTATCAAATATTTCATAATTTAAAATTTCGTATGCATAACTAGAAATAGACACTGGAAGCCATGGTAATTAAAATTAACAGCCATACATGCCTGCTCTATCATCTTGTTTTTCCAGGAGGCTGTTTTCCTGCAGATACTTCTCCCTAAATATTTTTCAGCCATGGATAATATTGAACTTTAAATATTTTTCTGTGCAGACCTGGCAGACTGGATCTTCTCCCTAAATATTTTTCAGCCATGGATAATATTGAACTTTAAATATTTTTCTGTGCAGACCTGGCAGACTGGATCTCCGCATTGAAATTGGGATTCCTAATGAGAAAGGTCGTGTAAACATATTAAAGATTCACACACAAAGGATGAACCATTGTGGTTTACTCCATTCAGATGTGAACCTTGAACAAATAGGCAAGTCATTTTGCCTTGGATTTTTGTTACTTACAGCGATTGGATGAATTCTTCAAGGTAATCTGATGATTTTAATGTCTGTTCGTGTAGCTTCCATGACTGTTGGTTGGACCGGGGCTGAGCTTGCCAGTGCTGTTAACTCTGCTCTCTCCAATGCTATTGTCCGTGCAGATCCTAATATGATAGGGCAAGTAAATAAGAAGCAGATTAGAGTAAAACAAGCAGACTTTCTTCATGGTGTTCGAGTTAGTATCCATGATAAATGATGGAAGAAATTTCAGTATAATATATATAAATATTTATCTGATGTATAATAAATATATGTTGATAACATATAATAGTTTGCCTACGCATGAATCCAACGCTAATTTCTGTAACTTTTACCACATTTTGCGAGACACTTATATGTCACGAAACTTGCGAATTTTGATTATATCTTGGCCTTTCCGCGCTAGCACAGAGCACATCTGTAAGATGCCACAAAGTGAGTGAAAATAATAATAATAATAAAGCCTATATGTTCGTTCACTATACCTTCTACCAGTTATATACCCCTCGAACTCTCGTGTCTCACCCACTATTCTCTGTATTTTATATAGAACTATTGGAATTGAAAAAAAAAAAAAATTAATAGACTGTAAATTTGCAGATTGGATGAAAGTAGAAGAGGAAGAGGATTGAGAGGAAATTTGATTGGATGCATATTTACCTGAAAGGACGAACTAACCTTTTGGAAAGAGCTTGGATGCGATTTTTAAATTTATTTGCTATAGTGAGCCAACCAATTAGCGCAGGTGTTGGCCTCACTGTAGACACGAGCAATATGAACCTGCTGTGGTTCTGCTATTGTGTGTCCAAAACTGGAGACTTGAGGGAGGAAGCTGCAACTTGTTAAGCAGAAAGACCAATTTTCTCAATGGTTTGAAATTGTCCATGAAACTTTGCCGAAACCTTTAAATTTCTCCTTAAAGCCACTGAAATCTATCTATAAGGTTGGAGCTTTAGATAAACCCAATCACCCACGGAAAAATGGCCCTTTCAATCCACTTCGAATCATCAAAATGCTTCATGCGATGTTGAGAATTAAGAAGATTGGCTCTCAACAGAGTAGTGATATAAGAACATCTTTAACTGAATGAGTAGTGATATAACCAGAACTCAACTAAGGCAATAATGGGGGCGGGGAGATGATTTCATGCACCTTAAGCATTTATTCAATTTCTCAGTCTGGCCATCTGTTTGAGGGTGATAGGCAGAACTGAAGTTGAGCTTTGTACCCACAGCCTGAAAAGTTGTTTCCACAATAAACTGGTAACATCTTTGTCCTTGTTAAACACAATCTTCTGAGGCATATCATGCAGTTTGAAAATGTTATCCAGAAAAGTTGAGTAATCTTTGCAGCAGTAAATAGGTGTGATATAGCAATAATACGGGCATACCTAGAGAACTTGTCCACCACTACTAAAATAGCATTTATAGTAGCTGATATAGGTAGACCTTCAATGAAATCTATAGATATATATAACCAACCCTAAGTAGTTACGTGCAGAAGAGTGCATTCGCTCAAACAGAGGACACTAAGTGCCAAACATATGATTATAGCCTAAATCCAAATAGCAAAAATTGATAAATATTATATATCATGTCCACCTGTACCAAAGCATCAAATTCATACTGAAGGGCCTGAAATCAATTTTATTTATAAAACTTGTCTTAATTCTCAGTAGACTTTTTATTGTCATGAATTCATGGCTTTTATAAGATTTTACTCAAATTATATACAATAAAGTAAATGAAAGTTCTCTCGTATGCATTAAAAACAAGTAATTAGATTAAAGTATTCATATTCATACATTTACTTAAATCTCATATATATGAACATATATATCCAAACATATTAAGTTATATGCCTTAAGCACATCTACAAAAAGTATGAAGAAGCTAAAGCTCCTATGAAAATTACTCAACAGGCTTTATGACTGCAAGATAGCTAGAATACTTCGGAAGTCCCATAAAATTACTCGGAAGAATATAAGAGTTTATAAGATAACATTAAATTCAACGACTTGGCAGCTGCACATAGATAATACCACATCAACATGACACTTGGATCCCACGTAGATTTACTATGGAAATTTTATTGTTGCCCTTTATTCTGACACTTTCTCTCTGTAAATCTTATCTTTCTACGTGATGCACCCTATCTTCTTCGCCTAACCTCTGTTCTTCTTCTCAAATCTCAGCTTTCTTTGCTTTGAAACCCAACCTCTGTTCTTCTCCTCAATCGTGTCGTTCTAAAATCCTGGTTAGCCGTCATCGTATCCTCAATGAGCAGCCATATCGTCAATTAGCTGCTACTTTTATCAATTTTTCCGCTTCCTTTCCTCCTTTTAGTGGTGTTGTTCTTATTATTATTTTTGGCTATTATCTTGTTGCTTTAGGCATTATTTTGGCCTTTCATTTGGCTTTGATTTGTTAATATTTATTTATTTTTATTTTTATTTTTTTAGTTTTTGGTTTTGTTTCTCTTTTAATTGCTGTATTGCTGTAGTGCTGATTTTGTTTATCTATTTCTTGTTTCCATTTTGAAGCTCTTAGATATCATATATTCTTTAATTTTTCTTTCTACGATTTTTTTTTTCTTTTTCATATTAAGCTAAGGAAATTTCGAACTTCATATCCGATTTCTTCTTTAAGCTTTTAGATTTCTAATCTTTTAAAAAATTATTAGATTTGATATTATAATCGGAAATACCAAGCAATTATTTATTTTGTAAATTAAACTGTGTTCCAAATGGGTTTCAATTCCTCCATTTTTTAAGCCATGTTCTTCACTTTCACAGATTGATTTTACGTTTTTGTCCTTTTGATAATTGAATACACCTTCTCTGCGTCCTAATGGAACGTGTCCTCCTTCTTATTATACGTGGACCCCACATCTTTCTATTTACAATATAATACTACCGTCTCTTGGAACGATTTCTGTATCCAAACAACCCACTCCTGTCACATCAAAATACCTGCTTATATTATATGTGATTGGGACCTTTTCTCTCTAGAAAACGCTCTCTTTTCTGGCCGCCATTCCGTATCGAGGTAGTACGGTACAATCTGAAGAGGATTGCCGCTCCATTGAAGATAAAGAGAAATTATGTTAGTATGAACTGGGGTGACCAACATCTATTGTGTAGAAGAAAGATAAAGAGAAATTATGTTAGTATGAACTGGGGTGACCAACATCTATTGTGTAGAAAATCTTTCTAACACAATAGATGTTGGTCACCCCAGTACATTCTACTCTACACAATAGATGTTGGTCACCCCAGTACATTCTAAAATCAATTTCTCGATAATAGTTAAAGCCATCTTCTTCGCCGTATGGACGGTGGATCTGTACTTGCATAATCTACAGGTTTCGCGAAGGATTTTAATTTCTTTTACCAGGTTTGTTTCTCCAATATTCGATCTATGGCGGTTAAAGTGATTGGCTCGTTTTTTTCTTGTTTTGCCCAAATATGAACAGTTCTTGCTCCTTTACCATCACTTGACCACCCAAATCTGTATCTTTATCGATCCAGTCATATAAAAGTCTTGAGGAAAACTAATTATTTTGATTCATGAAATAGAATCAAATTATTTAAAAAATACATTATATATATATATATATATATATCAAAATTATTTGAGATGACATAATTTGATATTCTCTGGGATTAACATTGTCTCTCATTATTTGGTTAAAGAGAAAGAAATGAGTAAAGTGTCAAGTGAGTAATAGAGAGAATAGATTATGCAAAGGCCATAATATGCTTGTTTAAAATAATTTTTTTTTTAAAATCACTTGTCATTTGAATCATTTTTTTCATTATCAAAATATTATAGAATGAAGCTGCGGTTTTTATTGTTATACAAATGAACGTTCAGTGTGTTTTATGTTACAAACTGAAATTTAGACATGTTAATGTACGAAATGCTAAGAAATTTAGCTAAGATGAGTGAAATTAAGCTGAAATGATAGTGGTATAAAAAGTAGGCCCATTTGGAGTACTGAATTCAATGTATTTGTTATGAAATCAAGACTCATGTATCAAATCTAATTTCATCATTCCAAATTCGGCTTTGAAAAAATTTGTTTGAACAGAACTGGTTTATAATATGTTTAGTTAACTGCTTCTAATGGAGTAATAGTGTGATTATAAGCTAGCTCTGGTGAATGATTATAAGTTTTTCTTCTTTAAGATTTGTAATTGCTATTCAATTCTCCATCTTTTCAATAGTGTGATTTCTGTTGCTTCTCACATAATGACTTCCGACTTAACTCATTTGTTTTATTTTACTCCACCATTGTCCTCTTATGTTGAAATAGAACTCCAGATCGATAAACATGAAAGAGAATAATATCCATTTTTTCACTGCAGTGTTTTTCCCTCTGTGGCTTCCCTTTGCGAATATTGTACTTGTTCAATGTATCTATCCTTTAGAAGTGTGTGCCTTCGTAGCTCTCTTAGGCAGTTAGTATATAGTCTAATATGCATATGACTGCAAGAAGTGTGAGCTTCAAAAAAATATGCTGCATTGCAAAACAGTCTTTCTAGTAGTAGCATGCCAAGCACTTCTTGGATGTTATCAACATTTTCTTGGAATTGTTAATTTGTGTTTGATTTGCTGTTAATTTTGTTTCTACTCTATGAATCAATAGATCACTTGGCAACAGAAGAGTATTAAGTGTTGGTCTGGTCGTAATTGAACAAATATTTCCTCCATTTTCTGTTTTTAATTGTCAGTACAAGATCTAGATTGAGATACTTGTACCAAGATTACCGGATGTCCAAAGGGGTGATTGAGAGAGATGGATTGAAGGCACAGGAAGATGAGAAAGAAAGAAGATGAGAAAAATGTTCTAACTTGTTTGGGTAAATGGGAATGCTTGGGGTTTGATGAATGATAAATCATGAACAAAAATATTCATCAGGAGAAAACGGGGGAGATAGAATTGGGATGGGACGAACCACTTTTGACAGGCAACATTAATATGATTTGTTTCATTATCTAATTGGAGTGGCTACTTGAATAGACTGGAGTGAATTGATTAATCTAAGTATCGGTTATGAGATTGGCTCAACTTTCATTTCAATGCTAATAAGGCATTGGTGGTACTTAGGGGTTTAAGATCAAGGCAACAAAGTTTTCCTACATTAATAGCTAGAAGTTCATTTGATTGATATCTTTTTTCTTCAAAAAAAAAAAATATTTTCTGCTTTTATTGCCTTGATGATGCATTAAATATACATATATATTTGCGTATGGATGACAGTATGTAGCGATTGCGAAGCCAAGATTTTGTGTTGATTAGGGTAAAAAACCAATATATATATACACACTCACAATTGTGTATGCACATTGAAAAGTTTGTTTGTTGGTACGTAATTGGCT